TATATATATATATATATATAACTAAAGATTAAAGCAAAGAGACCAAGAATGCATTGGATGCTGCGACTTCTTTTTCACCTTTTTCCCTTATTATTATTTTTTACCAAAATCTTTGCTATTTTCATCATCATTATCATTCGAATTTCAGTATTTATCCTCTCCTCACTTTATAAATATTCAGTATAAGCTTCTGCAGTAACTTAGTGTAACCCCCACAAAAAGAAACACTAAGTAAAGACATCGTTTGCGTTCAATCCATATCTTTAGCTTCTGTCGTAAATTAGGGTTTTTGGGTTTTTCCTGTCTGAACTCTTCTTCCTCGTCTTCTTCTCCTCTGAAACTCTTTAAGGTTTCTTGTTGGGTATCTGTCAAATGCCATAATGAGTACTTCAGCTTCGGACAAGAATCTCACCTTCCTCTTCTTGTCTTCGTTCTTTCTCCTCATTTCTCCTGCTCCGTGTTCTTGTTTCGTTTCATCATCATCATCATCATCCTTATGGGGACAAGCCCGGGTTATTGTTTCTCTGAAACAGGGCTTTGAATCCTACGATCCGTCTCTCCATTCATGGAATATGTCAAACTTCATGTCTCTCTGTTCTTGGACCGGTGTCTTTTGCAGCTCCAATAATCTGTCCGTAACTCGCCTCGACATATCCAATCTCAACATCTCTGGGTCTCTCTCACCTGTCATCACCCGTCTCTCCAGCCTCGTCGATCTTTCTCTGTCCTCAAACAATTTCTCCGGCGAGTTTCCCAAGGAAATTCACAAGCTTTTCAGGCTCGAGTTCTTGAATATATCCAACAACGCGTTTGAAGGAGGGCTCGGAAGTGGATTCAAGTGGATGAAGCAACTGGTGGGGATCGATGTTTATAACAATAACTTCAATGGGTCGCTGCCTTTAGGGTTGACCTATCTGCCTCGGCTCGAGTACTTGAATCTTGGCGGAAACTACTTCTCCGGTGAAATCCCGACAAGCTACGGGAGTTTCTTGCGGCTTAAGTTTCTGTCTCTGGCTGGGAATGATCTCCATGGGAGAATACCGGGCGAGCTTGGGAACATCACTACTCTGAAACAGCTTTTCTTGGGTTACTTCAACGATTTCGACGGTGGAATACCTCCGGAGTTTGGGAATTTGATCGGTTTGAGTCATCTGGACATGGCGAATTGCGGGTTGGAAGGCTCGATTCCCCCGCAGCTCGGGAAACTCGGGAATCTCGATACACTGTTCCTTCAGACAAACAAACTGACAGGTTCTGTTCCTCCAGAACTCGGGAACATGACCAGTCTCAAGTCTTTAGATCTTTCCAACAACTTCTTGGAAGGGGAACTCCCAGTCGAGCTATCTGGTCTTCAAGAACTTCATCTGTTAAACCTCTTCTTCAACAGATTCCACGGCCAGATCCCTCAGTTCGTGGCCGAGTTGCCAAATCTCGAAGTTCTTAAGCTATGGATGAACAATTTCACAGGGACGATTCCTTCGAGGCTCGGTTCAAACGGGCACTTGTTCGAACTCGATCTTTCTTCCAATAAGCTGACAGGTTTGATCCCAAGAACCCTCTGTTCCGGCCGGACACTCAAGATTCTGATACTCTTCAACAACTTCTTGTTTGGTCCTATCCCTGAGGATCTCGGCCAGTGCGAAACTTTATCGAGAATTCGAATGGGGCAGAATTATCTGACAGGTAAACTGCCAAAGGATTTGATTTACTCGCCGAATCTTTCGCTTCTCGAGCTTCAGAACAACTTGTTGTCCGGAGAAATCGAAGTAGAGACCCGAAAAGCTCCTTCGAACCTCACGCAAATCAATCTGTCGAATAATCGCTTGTCGGGTTCGCTCCCTGCTTCTATTGGCAATTTCAGCAGCCTCCAGATTCTTCAGCTCGGCTCAAACCGCTTCACGGGACAAATCCCTGAAGAAATCGGAGGTTTGAAGAGTGTTCTCAAGCTTGACATGAGCAGAAACAACTTCTCAGGCAAGTTGCCTCCCGGGATCGGTAGTTGTCAGTCACTGACGTACTTAGATTTGAACCATAACCAGATGTCTGGTCCGATTCCGGTTCAGATCACTCAGATTAAGGTACTTAACTACCTGAATCTTTCTTGGAATTCTTTGAACCAAAGCATTCCGGTCGAAATCGGGTCCATGAAGAGCCTAACGTCTGCAGATTTCTCACACAACAACTTCTCTGGTTCAGTGCCCGAATCAGGACAGTTCTCTTTCTTCAACAACACGTCATTTCTCGGGAACCCTTTTCTCTGCGGATTTTCTTCAAACCCGTGTAACAGTTCGCAGAACCGATCGCCATTACAGCTCGAAACCCGAACCAGCACCAAGTCTCATCGCGAAGTTCCCGGAAATTTCAAGCTGCTGTTCGCATTAGCCTTACTAGGATGTTCACTCGCGTTCGTCGTGTTAGCAGTTGTCAAGACTCGGAAAATGAGAAAGAACAACTCTAACTCATGGAAGCTAATCGGTTTTCAGAAACTCGAATTCCAAAGCGAACACATCTTGGAATCTGTCAAAGACAACAGTGTGATAGGAAGAGGTGGAGCAGGAATTGTCTACAAAGGGGTAATGCCAAACGGAGAGGAAGTCGCCATTAAAAAGCTCTTGAGCATAGGAAGAGGTTCCTCCCATGACAATGGCCTGACTGCAGAGATTCAGACATTAGGGAAGATCAGACACAGAAACATAGTGAGATTACTCGCCTTCTGTTCGAACAAGGACATCAACCTGCTCGTCTACGAGTACATGCCCAATGGCAGCCTCGGAGAAGTCTTGCACGGTAAAACAGGAGCGCTCTTGAAATGGGAAACCCGGCTCAAGATCGCTCTCGAGGCGGCAAAAGGACTCTGCTATCTTCACCACGACTGTTCGCCTCTCATAATCCATCGAGACGTCAAATCTAATAACATTCTGTTGGGTCCTGAATTCGAAGCTCACGTCGCTGATTTCGGGTTGGCAAAGTTCATGATGCAGGAAAATGGTGCATCAGAATGCATGTCTGCAATTGCAGGCTCGTATGGTTATATTGCTCCAGGTATATACATATATATACAATATCCATCGAAAAGATACGTTTTTTTTTCCGTATAATCTGACGTTTTCACACGATTTCTCTGACAGAATACGCGTATACGCTGAGAGTAGACGAGAAGAGCGACGTATACAGCTTCGGGGTAGTGCTGTTGGAGCTGATTACGGGTCGGAAACCGGTGGACAACTTTGGAGAAGAAGGGTTAGACATCGTGCAATGGGCAAAAATCCAGACGAACTGCGACAAGCAAGGGGTCGTCAAGATTCTCGATCAAAGATTGAGCAATCCGCCATTGGAGGAAGCAACGCAAGTGTTCTTCGTGGCAATGCTCTGTGTTCAAGAACAGAGCGTTGAACGACCCACGATGAGGGAAGTTGTCCAGATGATTTCACAAGCCAGACAGCCTTCCACTTTTCAGATGCAGTGACGAAGTCTCACGAACATCATGATCTTGTCTTGTCTTAGTATCTGATTTACAATCTTAGATTGTAATAATGGTTTTGTTTAGGGCTTTAGGGTGTAAATCTCAGTTTTTTTTTTTGGGTTTTCTTGGTTTTTGTTTGGTCTTCTGTTTTTTGATGTTTCTAAATGCTGAAAGCTTGTGGAAATGAAGAAGAGCTTTGGTGATTTTGCTGTAACTTAGCTTGAAACTGATATATTTAATTCAGACTTTACATAATATCATTTCAGAGATTGACTTCAAGTCAAATAATCTTTGGTTATTCAACCTAAATTTTCTGTTTAAAAGTCCTAACCGGTTCGGTTTACACCGGTTGAAGTACCGAAATATCCGGTTTAAGATATTGGTTGAGTCCTGGTTCGGTTTAAGCCGGATTTAACGTCCCTATAAGAAGGCATCAGAGTTGGATCGGAGAATGTGTCACTGTCCCTCTCGCACATAAAAATTTCTGGGGAGCGATTGATTCCGACAACCATCGAAGGAGACGATTCTCCTGAAATTTGATCAATTTACTCGAGAGCACTTAAAGGTTTGTCTTTTCTGGTTTCAATTTCTGTCGGTTGTCTCTTGTATGGACGAAACCCTAATTAGCCTCATCGGGGATTTTACGTGGAATCGTGCTACTGTGATGCTAATGCCGGTGACTTTAATGGAGTATGGGAATCATTGATTTGTTCTGGATCAAATGATTGATCGTAATTCAGGTTTTTATCAGGAATGAAGCACTCGAAGGATCCGTTTGAAGCGGCATTGGAGGAGCAAGAGGAGTCGCCGCCGGAGTCACCTGTCGGCGGAGGCGTCGGTGGAGAAGGCGAAGGGGATGAGAGTCGAACCCTAATCGAGCAGATTCCGGAGGAGGACGAGATAGCCGCCGGGGATCTCCGTCCGGCGAAAAAGCCTAAAACTTCCATGGAGGGTTTAGGGAAGAACAAAGACGAGGATGATGAAGAAGAGGAAGAGAATATGGAAGTTGAACTCACCAAGCTCCCGTCCAGTGCTGATCCTGATAAGATGGCCAAGATGCAGTGAGTGTTTGATTTCTTCTCTCTGTTGTGGTTGTTGATTCAAGGCTTCAGCTCTGTTTCGATTGTTGCTTTGCATCATATTGGGAGCATTTTATGATAATGTGCGTGTGGATCCACATGTGATTCTTCAGGGCCATTTTATCACAATTCACAGGGGACCAGATGAGCAGATATGAATTGTTTCGGAGATCTGCATTCCAGAGATCAAGCATGAAGAGGGTAAAAATTTCACAAAAACACACCCTTGTCTATGTTCTTGATGCCTTCATTCATTTGGTTCTGGTTTTAGTTTTGTCCTTTTAGGCTGATGCACTCTAAATCTTGGCTATTTCTTCCATTCTGAATGTGTGGAAAGAGACCCAACGTTCTCAAATCTTCGTGCTTATACTGCGTATCACCTTAATCCTGTCTGTCATTTTGCCAACACAAACAGGCCTTGACTTTTGAGGTCGGAACTTTCTAGATAGTGAGTGATTAGGTCAGCGGGTCTGCTGGAATTTTATGATTTGTAATACATGTCAAATACCTTAATCTGCTCCCCCTTTTGTGTTCTTCTTGTTTTGTCTCAATGCAGTTATTGGTGAGTATAACAGGGAGTCAGAAGATCAATTTGCCAATAACGATCGTGGTCTGCAGTATTGCAAAGATGTTTGTTGGAGAAATTGTCGAGACAGGTAAAAGTGGGAGTTATGTAGATATTTTTTTCCGGTGAAAGAGGAAAAAAAAGAAACTTTGTATGATCATGATGAAATAGGGGATATAGCATAAAGCCTAAACTGAGTTCAACATCATATGCAGCTCGGATTGTGATGGGAGAAAGGAAGGAAACCGGACCGATAAGACCTTGCCACGTAAGAGAAGCTTACAGAAGGATAAAGCTCGAAGGAAAAGTGCCGAGAAGATCTGTTCCTCGGCTTTTCCGGTAGCTATGACCGGAGATAGACCTCAACCGATTTACTTTTAGCCGCATGGTGATAAGGTTTACTGGCCATTCAGCTGGAATCTATGTGTTTCAGTGAAAGTTCAGTTTGTGTGATAATGCATGCATGGATGCCATGCCATGCCCTTTTGATGTCATAGTTAGGATATGTTCAATTGGTGTTTCCATTGCTTTGCTTGTCTTATTGGATCAGACATATGTTCCTCTTCTTGGCATGATAAGCCATGTTTAAGTTATTGTACTCATCTTGTTCTTGTTAGAACTTAGACCTACCTCACTTTTTTTGTTATTTCCTTTGTTTTCAATTATTTAGCCATGAAAATCACCAATTTTAAAATATTTTTATCAATATATAAACCAAATTTTAATAAAATTTATCTTTTAAATAAAAATTGTAATAGAAAATAATTAGAGCCAAATCCATTGGATCACAAGGAGATCCGGAGGGACGAGGTAAGGTCCATCTAATGGGCTTATATTGGGCCAAGGACTAATTTGTAAAAACAAGTAATATGCGGGTGGAAGTTGAAGAACCAAGAAAGTTAGAGTACTTGAGAAGCAATAACAAAAACTTTATTGAAAACAATAAAGGAATATTGCACAATAACTCACCCACTATTTCTCCTTCCCTTCCTTCCTCACTGTTAACGCAGAGCCTCCATTTCTCCTCTCCTCCTCCGCCTTCTCTTCTCCCTCCTTTCCCCTATACATACACTCTTACATATATTTCATCCTTCTTCTAGGGTCTTTCTTTCTTTATCCTTGTCCCTCTGGTGGTCGGTACGAGAGGAAGAAGTAGTAGAAGTAGACGGAGCCTTGAAGTTTTCGTTCTCTCTTTCGTTTCATCGGAAATGAAGAAGGAGGACTGAACCAATTCTAGAATCGGAAAATAACCACAGATCGGAATCGGAAACCCACCGTTGCAGAAACCCGAAACCGGATTTTCTCTTGGGTAAATGATGAGGTCCTCTCATTCATCTTCTCTGTTCTCGATTGTGTCCTTTTTCCGTTTTTCGTTTTCCGTCAACCCCTTTCATCTTCTCGTCGGTCGTTTTGATGTTTTTTTGTTCGATCTTTCTGATGAACAAACCACCGGAATTTCCACTTTTTTTTTGTTATGTTATTTTTTTCGTTTCTGAACTGGTTATGGTTTTCTGGATCTAGGGTTGATTTGAAAACTCTCCAGATTCACGGTATTCTGAAACTAATGTCAACCTTTTGAATTTTTGTTTTCTCTTTGGATGTATTTTTTTGTTTCTCTTGATGACTATGCCGTATCGGAAGATCCGAATCTTTGCTTAAAGAGAAGAAGAATTTGGATTTTGAGCACCAAAGAGCTAAAATCCTCGGGGAGGTTCTATTGTTTTGATTTCATGCCCTGATCACTGTAAATTCAAGTAACCCAGAAGAGAGAATCGGATGAAAATACAGCTGAAATCCTGAATTTTTGTTTTCTTTTCACAACTTCAATGGATTCAGATGCATTTTCCTGTTTCCAGTTGATCTTCCTCTGGTTGGAATCCCTCTTGTTGATCTGGCTTCGTTTGGGGTTTTGATTCAAACCATTGAACAGGTATCAGAGAGTCAGCCCAGATTGTCTTCCTCTCACCAATGGCAAGAAGCCCTACTTGAGACCTTCTCCTTCACGAGCACCAAAGGAAGACGCCACCGCCGATAAAGGCAGAGCAACTTCCTCCGCCGCCGCCAACGGAACATGCACGATCGCCAGTTCGGCCGTCGACGGAGTTTCCAAGGGCTTCCGATTCAGATCCCAACAAGATCCTCACGATCCTAACCCCACCCCCAGTCCCGGCGGCGTCAGCGGAGACGTGCTGTTGCAGTGGGGACAACGGAAACGTTCTAGGGTTTCTCGGGCTGAGATCCGATCCGCCGCCGCCGCAGCCGATGATTCCTCGTCGTCGTCGGGACATGGGAAGGTATCGTCGAACAAGCTGCAGAAGCGATCGGCGAATCCGACAATGCCGCCGCCGCCGCCGCTTCTCTGCGGCGTATCCTCCGGTCGGAGTACGAACCCTAGAAACGGTTCCGTCAGAAACAAGGAAGCTACATCTGGATTCATCGCTGCCAGGTTTGGGAATATTTTCATTTTCCTCCACAATATTATTTTTCGGCCTTTTTTTATATTGCAAATATTTAAATAGCCGGATTTATGCAAAGAATATATCTTTTTACAGAACTGAAACCCAAATCTTTGGATTTGTTTCCTGTAAAAGTTATATTTCCCTCTGACAATGTTTATTTTTGTTCATCCGATTTCTAATGCGATTTTTCTTAATTTGGGGTTTTAGTTTTTAATTAACTTAAATTTCGTGTTTTTTTTAGATCCAACCCAAACGCTTGGTTCATCTTTTTTTTTTTTAACCAGAATTTGGTGATAAAAAACTCTGTTTATGAATTTACTTTAATACCCCTTGTTCTATGTTCTTTCCTTTCCTTTCCTTTTTGTTTTGTCCATAAATCTCTGTTTCTTCTTGGTTTCACTCTGTGTGGTATTTTCTTTTCATGGTAACTTCGAATATTTTTTAACCGACTATTCCTTATTTTTATTTTTATTTTTGTTATAGCATATCTCTAATCTTATTCTGCTTCTTTGACTCGATCTTCCAAGTTTCTTACTAAATTCTCTCATTTCTATTTCGTCTTTTCGGATTCGCCCTTCAATTCGATCTCTCAGTTGTTTTTTTTCAATCAAGTAATAATATTTTCTTATGGGTTTTTTATTCTGATTATTGGGTATTAACTTTCTTACCAAAATTTCCGTCTTTTTAAATTTCTGGGGTTTTTCGTATAAAGGAGGAAAAAAAAAAGCTTCATCCACTCTTTCAAAGTCTCAAACTTTAACTTTTCAGCAAAACAGGGGAATAAAAGAGAAGGAAAAAAAGGGGGAAAGAATCAGTAGACCCTATCAAAATCACCTGTGGCTTTAACCTTGTGGTTGTTACGTAATGCCCAGGAATTTAGAAGACCGATCCGCCGCCGCCATCGGTTCGCCGGCGAGAAATCTCGGCGGCGAAGGCGGCCGTGCGGTGTCCAGATCGGCGGCCGGAACTAAGCGATCTCCGCCATCTCCGGACAAGATCGAGAAGAAATCAAATGGCAAGGATCATCATCAACAACAGAGACAAAACGGGTTCGACCATCATCAGCACCACCGTGTGAACCGATCGGAATCAACAGCTCAGGCTCTATTGGAGCACGAGACGAAAAACAACAATGGCGAGAAAACGGCGCAGGTGGAAATGATGGAATGGCCCAGGATTCACATTGCCCTGTCTAGGAAAGAGAAGGAAGAAGATTTCTTGGCGATGAAAGGGACAAAACTCCCACATCGGCCCCGGAAACGGGCGAAGAACGTTGACAAAGCCCTCCAGGTAAAACATCCAAAGTCTTCATCTTTCCTTTTTTTTTTTTTCTAACACCCAAAAAAGAAAGAAGATGAATTATGAAAAAAAAAGGCAAAATTTTCAACCCTAATCTTGAAAATTTGGGTTTGTGTGGCAGTATTGTTTTCCAGGGATGTGGCTGTCTGACTTGACCAAGAGCCGGTATGAAGTTAGAGAGAAGAAAAGTGTGAAGAAGGTAAGTTTACTCTTCTGTCACCATTTACTATGAATCTGGATTTTTTTCCATCTTTTGAAACCCTTTTAAGTCTAAATCACGATTTGGGGATTAGGGTTTTTTTCATTGTTCAAGTTTTGAGTTCTTGATCACAATTGAAACGGAAAAACAGATAAAGCTTTAAGCTTTGATGTTATGCGTATGTATGTGTGTGTGGCTATGTGCATACATGTTACAGATTATATTGATTCCATGTATAGTATATATATATATACACGTGTATATGTGGTGGTGGTGGGGTGATGACAAGATGAATGGGCCTTACCAAAAATCTAATGGGGTAATAAAATTTTTTATAAACTCGATAAGACATGGGACCCAACTGTTTTTTTTGTTGGCATATGCTAATGCTTTTTTCTTTAATAAAAAAAAGCCATTTCTATTGACCTTTCTCCATGAACTTATATTTGCAGCAGCAAAAAAGAAGGGGTTTGAAAGGCATGGAGAGTATGGACACCGACTACTCCGAGTAGGGAAATAAAACATCCAAAGTCTTCATCTTTCCTTTTTTTTTTTTTCTAACACCCAAAAAAGAAAGAAGATGAATTATGAAAAAAAAAGGCAAAATTTTCAACCCTAATCTTGAAAATTTGGGTTTGTGTGGCAGTATTGTTTTCCAGGGATGTGGCTGTCTGACTTGACCAAGAGCCGGTATGAAGTTAGAGAGAAGAAAAGTGTGAAGAAGGTAAGTTTACTCTTCTGTCACCATTTACTATGAATCTGGATTTTTTTCCATCTTTTGAAACCCTTTTAAGTCTAAATCACGATTTGGGGATTAGGGTTTTTTTCATTGTTCAAGTTTTGAGTTCTTGATCACAATTGAAACGGAAAAACAGATAAAGCTTTAAGCTTTGATGTTATGCGTATGTATGTGTGTGTGGCTATGTGCATACATGTTACAGATTATATTGATTCCATGTATAGTATATATATATATACACGTGTATATGTGGTGGTGGTGGGGTGATGACAAGATGAATGGGCCTTACCAAAAATCTAATGGGGTAATAAAATTTTTTATAAACTCGATAAGACATGGGACCCAACTGTTTTTTTTGTTGGCATATGCTAATGCTTTTTTCTTTAATAAAAAAAAGCCATTTCTATTGACCTTTCTCCATGAACTTATATTTGCAGCAGCAAAAAAGAAGGGGTTTGAAAGGCATGGAGAGTATGGACACCGACTACTCCGAGCAGGGAAAGATGGTGTATCTTTTCGCACGTGCTGGTTGCATTTTACGCACGTGCGAGTAGGGGCAGCACAGCACTAAGCCACTTATGGACTATGGAGTTCATTTTCTTTTTCTTTTCTTTTGATTTTTTTTAGGCTCTATTTTTATAGTTCTTTGGGGTTTCAAATTCTTTTGTTTCGGTCATGTGGTTCTGCTTCTACGTGTACAAAAAAGGCCGAGGGGATGCTTTCTTCGTTGAGGCCGTCTTTTCCAATATAAATCTTTTGATTTTTTAAAAGTAAAAAGACAAAATTAAACTGAATTGAACTTTTCGACCCAAAATATTTTAAATAAGGTAGGCATTCGATTCGGGTTTTCAAAGATTAAATCAAACCGAACTCTGAATTGAATTTTGTATAATTCGGTTTTCTAATCAATCCGAACCGGTTCGAACCGGGAGGAGAAGTTGGCTCGGCTAATCTAATCGGCTCCTTGCTCCAGCCACCTAAACGCGTGAGAGTCTCAACCAAACCAATGGAAGTTTCTGGGCGGCGCGTGAGAAGATTTCGGATGAGGTTCCGTCACTCCGCCGGGAACTACGGCGGTTCCGTCCTCCCTATCCGATCTGGACACGCCGGTGGTGAGAATCCCGACGCCGTCATCTCGTGCTGCTACTGTGACTACAAGATCTCGATGTTCAACGAGCCGATCTACCGCCTCGGACGGCGGTTTTCCCGCGTCATGAAGGTCTGGTTCTCCGTCGGTCTCGGCTTAGGCGTTGCTTCTCTCGTCCTCGTCTCCGTCCTCCTCCTTCTGCAATTTCACCCCAACGCCGTCTCCGATCGCCTCCTCGCCGCCGTGTTCGGGCTCTCTCCCTCCACCGTGAGCTTACACACAATTTCTTCCTTACTTCAGATTCGGAATTCGAACGCAAAGCCTTATCATATCTTCCGTGTTTGCAGCGCGTGTCACCGTCTGGGATCGTCCATGTGTTCATTTCTACTGTTATTTCTGTATTAGTTCATGAACTCGGCCATGCTCTTGCTGCCGCGAGGTCAGTCCATCAAATTCCCTTATTTTTTTTCTTCACATTTTCCTGTTCTTAGTGAATCAAGTTGACCCTTTTCCTGTAAATATATCCATTCTCTGTTTGAATCAATAGTGAATTAAGCGAGAGTGAATGAGAGACAAAGCAAAAGGAATGACTTTATGTTTAGTTCTGGTTCCTTGAAGAGTTCAGTTAGAATCTCAGGTTCTGAATTCTAGGATCCTTCTGATTCGGGGGCAGTGAGGGCATACAGATGGAATACATTGCTGTTTTCATGGCGGCTATATTTCCTGGCGGGCTCGTGGCATTCGATCATGATGTTCTTGAAGCACTTCCACGGTTTAACACTCTTCGTGTATACTGTGCTGGTATCTGGCATAATGCAGTGGTTAGATTTCTTCCCTTTGTTTATTCCCCTTCTTTTTTTGTATCCAGTATTATTCGTACCTTATGCTTAGTATAATGACCTTCGATCTTGGCTTTCTTCTGCAGTTTTGTGCAGTTTGCGCATTGACTTTGTTTCTCCTGCCAGTGATCTTGTCTCCATTTTACATACACGGAGATAGCCCCATGGTCTGTATTTATGTTTTCGCCTGTCTTAACTGATTAACTTTGTAGAAAATTCTGAATAGTTTCCTTTGATAGGTTTTGGACGTGCCATCCACTTCACCATTGTTTGGTTACCTGTCTGCTGGAGAAGTTATTGTGTCCTTAGATGGCATACGGGTACATAACCCTAAAGAGTGGCTTGAATTGGCTGCTCTCTTGGATAAGTACAACAGTGAAAGATCCAATTCTTCCCTCGGAAGGTTTCATCACAGAAAGGGTTATTGTGTTCCTTTATCTCTGATTGAAAAAGGGTACAAAGTTGAAATGACTGGGAACCTGTTCGTTTGCCCTGGTGATCTCTCTGCATTTGTTCCTATGCCTTGCTTAAGGGAAACTACTAGTTCACACGACAAGAATGGTAAAGATGATCAACCAATCCGAGGGAAGAGCATGATTTGTTTGGATGCAAAGGACATTGTCAAGCTTAACAAATGCGGTGATGGGTGGGTGACTTCTGACACCGATGAAATTAGCTGCATATGTTCACAGGTGACTGCTTGAGAATATCCTCTCAAAGTACGTTTTCGTTATCAATTTCTGACAATGCTTATGTATTTGACAATGTTTTCAGGGCGAGTCATGTTTGCATCCTGTTGAATCTCCTGGTGTATCTTGGACAGAGATCACCTATAGAAGCACTTCACCAAATTGTTCGAGAATTGGTGGAAGTATAAGCTTGGTAGTTAATACCTCGAAAAATTCACCAGAACATGATTGTCTGGGGAGTTTTGTTTTCGTGGGTGACCTGATTGCCACTGCACATTCGGTTCATCTAACTTCATACCAACCTCGTCGAGTTTTTAGTTTTGGCATTCGCCTCCCGGATATCTTGGAAAGGAGCTTGATATGCACTTTCCATGTCTCTCTGGCACTGGTTCTTTTGAATAGCTTGCCCGTAAGTTCCGACTTTTTCGCTTTATCCTTCAATACCTAAACACGATCACCATCTAATGTGTTTATCTCGAGATTAGATTTCCAGATTCTCCCAAGATTTCTCTTGGTTACTAATCATGGATAACATTATGTAGGTCTATTACCTTGATGGTGAATCCATCTTAGAGACCAGTCTTGAGTATCTAGGCTGGTCGAGCAGCAGGAGGAGGAAGAAAGCTCTGCAAGTATGCCTTATCGGAGGAACTTTTCTCTCGGCCTCTGCGTTTTTCCGAATCTTCGTTCTTGGTTATCTCTAAGGCAAATGCAAAGGTAAACTGGTGGGCAATCTTGGATCGTGTTCTTCCCATCAAAAGTTTCCATCTCTAGTATGGACAAGGACAGAACCTTTGGTTTCAGACAGAACCTGAAGCCTGTTCATACAACAGCAGCGTCAATGCATAAACATTCATTCAGTTCGCGATCATATTTTCTGTCTTCTTTTTAATTCCCAACTCTATATATAGGAATCATTATATTTATGGAATTTTCTCAGATGATGATGATACGGCATGATGCCTTGGAGATTTTATAGTAATCAATGATGGAGGGTGCATCCACGGGTAGTAATTTAATCATATGTTGTAATTGCTCTTTATAATGATTATTATAATTATACAGACAGTTCAACTTTCATGATTTCCCTGAGCTTTTGACGGTTGTTATAAAGTCTATAATATTTCTTTGATAGAATATGAAACACCGAGTCCTTGGTTGGTTAAATTTTTATGTTGTGTATTTTTCTCTTGATATTTTTCAAGATATTATCCATACCGACAAGGTTTTTATACAATTATTTTCCAAGATAATATCCATAATTTTTCATACAGATATGGAACAGGGCAAATAGTGTATACACACACACCCCCCCTAGTGTTTTATGACGGGATTTGCCCTGTTGTTGTGTTCCTTGTAGTAGCGTCAGCAGCTTTCTTGATGTTTCTGGTTTAGTGGGTTTTGGTTGGTACAGTTTTGTTTCCATGTTATGCACAAAACCCATCATTCATATGTTTTTGGATACATGTGAACTGGAGAGAGGGCATAAAGGATGCATTTCATCGAAATCAACTAAATGTCTTAAAAGGTTAGATATTTTCTGCAAAAGTATGGACTGCGCTAAGGGGAAATGTTTTCAAGGGCGTGTAAGAAACTAGGCTGAACAATTTCTGTTGATGAAACAAGACAGCTGGTGCAGATTTCCACTCAAGGAAAAGACTGGCAGAGTTTCCATTGCTTCACAGCTTCGCTCATCCGGACAGGAACCTCATTAGACCAAGCAATCTGATCAGGTAAGCCCCCGGTCATGGCCATGAAGTTCAAACCTTGTGGATCCGGTGTTCTCTTCCAACAAACCTGCGTCAAGAAAATCTCAGATGATCGGTCCTCGAGTCTCGAAACACACGTCTGAAACAAATCCATGACAGATGATAAACAGGAAGACATACTTGTCCGGGAAATGCCTCGGACAAGGTCTTGATGGTAGAGTTCAACACCCAAGCCGAATCACCGGATACCACCTGTGGTTTTCCATTCGAGGTATCTTCTTCTGCCTTGATTCCAGCACAATTCACCATTATCCGGCCGTTAGGCATCAACCTGCTACCTAGTTCCTGCCAGGTTTGAACCTGCGGTTCGTCATTGAATAAAGCTTTTTGCTTCAGTGGCTGCCCCCTACACTGTCAAGAATAGATGCTAATAATACTAATGCCACAAGGGTCAAGTACCTCTTGCAGCTGGCTTAGGACCTTCCCATCGGAGAACAAATCGACAATGATTCCTGAGCATGAATTGTTCAGTTCAGACAGGGACAGGACAGTCAGCAAACAGATTAACTTGACAGACAAAAGGTTATATCATGTTGCAGGAAACACTGTAAGAAGAATGCATAAATCAGATGCTTTTATGTGTACAGACTTTATCACTTCAGGAAGTCTGTATGAAGATTTCCACAGGGTATAAACCAGAAAAAGGATGATCAATAAATCACGAGGAAATCTAACCAGCATATCTTCCATAAGCATCTTGAGATGGAGCAAGAGCATCTTCAACACGAACATGAAGTCTGCCACCCTCTGGCGTTGGTTCCTCCAGTTCAGACAGCCCTAGATAGGCTCTTGCTTTCTCAATCAACTACTGTGCATACAAGATGTAAGAATCCGGTGAACCAAAGAATCGTATGCAATTGTATTAACATTCTTGCAGACCATTCACATATCGGCCGTAAAGTGGGTGTTATTGCAAATCTGAAAGTTTGGTTGGAAATGCTGACTGTGAGATTTCTTACATACAATTTGGTCAATTTCCCAACCCTCAAGCTGCAAAGAAGGCCACAACTCGAGCATTAACCGCACTGCTGTTCCACCACCCTAAAAACATGAAGACAGTATCATTGCAGTGAAAAATGGAGAAGCCATTCCACTTCATCTTTAAGCATCTGAGATGATCATGGAAAGTCAGATTTGTTATGGGTTTTGTGTGGTAATTCACCAAGCCGTAAATCGCAATTGGGCCCTCGGGGATTATAGCCGGCAAACTAGCAAACTCATCCTGCAACAGAATGTTGATCATATAAGCTTATGATGATACATCAAGCAAACATCCCCAACTCCATGGAAAGAAATCATAAACGCTTACTCATAGTATACAATCTCAAAAGCTTAAGGATCAAAACATGTAGACTGTATATGAATGTGTAAGCTGCATGAATACATATGATTATTCTGAGAACTGCAAAACGAATCTAAAACATACCCAGTAGGATTTAGTCCAATTCTGACCTCCCTTGTTGATAACACTATGCACATTCTCTACACAAGAAAACACATCAGAATCACAATACGAGAAATCAGCAGTTCTTCCAAATCAAAGCCAACAATGAACAGTTCTTCAGAGTTCTGTAATGAAATACGAAAACAATCACTAGGAATCACACATAAATGATTTCACATTCACTAGAAATGTTGGTTAAAATCATTGGAGAGCTCACTAGTAGAATCAAGGAGGAGATATCTGGACTTAGCACTATCCACAATAACGATCTCATTGTAGAAGCTTCTCACGGCCGTCACAACCCAATACTCTTCTTCTTCCTCTTCTTCCTCCTCTTCTCCTCCTTTTCCTCCATGTTCTTGTTGCCTTTCTCTCTCATCAAGTTCACCACTTTTCTTGAGGCAATGCGAGATTGAGAATCTGGGTTTCTGCAGAGACCAATTTATGGAAAATGGCTGTGGAAAAGAGAGTCTTTTGGATAAAAGTAAGGAGCTTTCGCTGCGATTTTGTGAATGTAGACATGAAATGGACACGGAACTCAAAGCCGCCATCCTTCGTTCTTTCTTTCAGTGATCTCTTCGTTCTTAGCTTCAGAGCCTTATCTTTCTCCTCCCTCCAAAATCACTCCTTTGTAAAACTCCTGCCTGGTCAAGCCCTAATTTTTCAATTAATGGTAAAAGTTTGGGGCCATAAGAAAGAAGAAGGTTGGGTCTCGTCAGGCTTTGGTATAACACTCTTAGCCCAAGAACTAATACACTTGGGCTGTGTCCTGTCCTGTCCCGTCGAGCTTCTCAGCGACAGAACCTTCGTTTTCTTCTTCGACCATCGGTCTGATTCTTTTCCACAGATGAAGCAAGGTCTCTGTCTCTTCCCTCTTAGGGTTCATCTATCACTCTGTTTCTTCAGTTTCAACGCAGTGAGTTTTCCTTGCCTTCTTTCTCAATTTTTTCCCTCTGGGTTCTTTACATTTCAGATGTTAATGGTGAAAGTAGATAGGCAAGACTCTCAGCACTCTGTTGTCGTTGAGTTAGTTTTGTCCAATGGGTTACAGAGACAGTTTCAACATGTGATTTTATTTGTTTCGATCATAGTTTTGAGTGTAGAGATGATGATTTCATCACCCATTCAGTCAAAAGTATGAAAATTCTTGTTTTCAAGGTACGATCTTTACATGTTACACGGCTTTCAGCTTTCCCTGTTCCTGTCTCTAAGTCATAAGCCAACAAAAGGAATCCTTTCAAGAATTGTCTTAGAATGTCGTCTCTTTGGAGTGTGGACTGTGTTTTTGTCGGAGTTTATATTCAGAAGGTGTAGTTGTAAGATACTTGACACCATGTTCTTAGAGAATATAACCCGTTTAGGTTGATTTGATTTAGTTTAGGATATGAGATTTTATAAGTACCTTATATCAACATTTAGAATGAATAGCACAGAAAAAGTTCCCTAATCTCTCCTTTCCGTTTTCGAATTCCCTCAGGAATCCAATACAAGTTAATCCCTCAGCAGGCATGAGTGTGGAAGAGAAACTAGAAGGCTTTAGAGTCGGTCAGATCCCCACGTTGTTCTACATTCCAGAGTTCATCACTGATGAAGAACAAACTCACCTCCTCAATAATGTAACTCTCAGATCACTTCTTTTACATTTGACATTGCTGTTCTCTTTCCTTTAAACTGATTCTATTTACTTCTCACATGTTTGCATGTATTGTAGATAGATGGGGCACCTGTCTCTAAGTGGAAGCCATTGAAGAACAGGAGACTACAGAACTGGGGTGTGTTAAACCATGTGTACCTTTCTCGTACAATGTTTATTTGACAAGTAGTCTTTCTGATATTTGAAGAAATAGACATCCTATTTACACTAATGACAGGCTGAGTTCTTGCTTGTGGATATGTTACAGGTGGTGTGGTCCATGAAAAGGGTCTCCTGCCACAAGAGCGTAAGTAAGAACTTAGTATCGTAGATGTGATATATGAAAAAACTTAGTTCTTAATGTTTTCAGTTTTTGAAAGTTCTACCATTATCTTGTTTCTGATCGTTCATCACCTGGAACTGTTAAGAGTAATGTGGTACTGAAATCTGAAACATAGTAAAGAGATGAACTGAGACAAAGTAAAGATGCATAACCCAAGCTGTTTGTGTATTGCCCTTGATTTCAGTGCCTTCTTGGTTGACAAAGATTACATCCAAAATATATGAAAGCTCAGGCCTGTTCCCTTCTGCAGTCAATCATGTCCTCATCAATGAATACCATCCTGACCAAGGAATAATGGTTCGTAATCAACAGTTCTTTTGGTATTCTTCATCGTTTTATGTTTTCTTTCGGTTTTCTTTCCAATGGTTTAGGTTTCTGTGAAATTGAATGTTGTGCAATTTCTCACTTCCATTGTTCTGTCTCCACAGCCACACCAGGATGGACCCGCTTATTTTCCTGTCGTAGCTATTCTGTCTCTTGGATCGCCTGTTGTTATGGACTTCAGCCCACATCCAAGATTCAGATTGTGCCATGGTGATTCCGTAGATCAAAGCCCTGATGCAGAAGCATGTGGGCATGGAATAGATGAATGGGACCGAGATTACCACCCGTTTTCTGTCTTGATGATGCCTCGCAGCTTACTGATCTTCAAAGATGAAGCATACTCAAGTAAGTCTCTTGTAACTGTAAACTCAAGCCATACGATTAATGTTTCATGAAATTACAAAGTTAATTAAGAAGGTTTAATCAAGTATTCATAGTTAATGTTTGAGATAGTGTATCAAGGCCTGCACCAGGCATTTGCCACAAAGGTGTGGTAGGTAATGGAAGAGAACCTAACCGGAACTCGGATCTTGGAAATGCTTTCAGGGGTTAATGAATAATGAATCTAACAGCCATAGTGATGTTATTGACTTCTGATAGGTTATATAATAGATTCTTGTTAATATCAATCTTGGACGACTCAAGAAACTAGACGAGAGGAATACAATCTTGTTCTTGCAGTGAGGGGTTTAGACAACAATTTGAATTTTTTTTTTATCCTTTCTTGTTCCAGATTTCCTGCATGGCATTACCGACGATCCACAACAATGTTACGAAGGGGTGAGACGAGAATCTTAGTTTGAAAGTTCTCATGTTTGCAATAGTAATGTTTCTATAGATACATATGATGTTTAAAAGAATGTATTAGTTTGGAGGGCAATGATTTTTCTTTCTTCTGGTGGTTCAGGCTGTTAATGAAGCCAAAGCTTTGTCTGAATCAAACATGGAGAAATTAACTGAAGAGGACAGCAATGGAGGTGACAAGATTCTTCACAGAGACCAAACCAGAGTCTCACTGACATGTCGATTAGTGCCCAAAGTTCACAAGAATCTCTTCAGGTTTTAGACAACTAAGACAAGTAGTTCCTGATTTTGATATATCAGTCATTGTCTTGCCGTTTTTAGACTGTAAAAACGACACGATTTTTGTTCCATGAAGTGAAGGCCTTTGTGATGATTTACTGGGCCACGTAGCGAGGAAAATTACGAGTCGTGCCACTCCGATGGATAGAGGCTGAGCTGAGTCCATTAATGGCAGCCCTTCGTTTGATTTCTCCTTCGCCTTCCCTCAACCAGATAACACAACTCTCTACACTCCTCTCTTCTCTTCCCTCTCCTTCCTCCTCCTCCATCGACTCCCAAACCTGAATTCCCTTCAATCCCTTCTCTCCGATGGCAATTTCTGCTCCAGTCGCTTCTTCCTCCACCTCGTCTAGACTCCTCTGCTTCTACGCCTCCTCCCCTTCCCTCTGCCCCTCCGCCTCCATTTCGACTGCCGGTAAGCCTAAATCCCTAACCCTTTCTTCCTCCTTCCTCCCTGCTTACTCCGTCACCAACCTCTCCTCCTCCTCGTCCGCTTCCGCCCTCTCTCGACGGCCCCGCCGCGCGTTCACCGTCCGCGCCGCCCGTGGGAAGTTCGAGCGGAAGAAGCCCCACGTGAATATCGGCACGATTGGCCACGTCGACCATGGGAAGACCACCTTGACCGCCGCCCTCACCATGGCCCTCGCCTCCACCGGAGGCAGCGCCCCGAAGAAGTACGACGAAATCGACGCCGCTCCTGAGGAGAGGGCTCGTGGTATCACCATCAACACCGCCACTGTTGAGTACGAGACCGAGAACCGCCACTATGCCCACGTCGATTGCCCTGGGCACGCCGATTACGTCAAGAACATGATTACCGGAGCTGCCCAGATGGACGGAGCTATCCTCGTCGTCTCCGGCGCCGATGGGCCGATGCCGCAGACTAAGGAGCATATCCTTCTTGCCAAGCAGGTGGGTGTTCCCAACATGGTCGTCTTCCTCAACAAGGAGGATCAGGTCGATGACAGTGAATTGCTTGAGCTAGTGGAGCTTGAGGTTCGTGAGCTTCTCTCATCGTATGAATTTCCCGGTGATGATATTCCCATCATATCAGGATCTGCTTTGTTAGCTTTGGAATCTCTGACTGAGAATCCTAGCTTGAAGAGGGGTGAGAACAAATGGGTCGATAAAATTTACGAACTTATGGACGCTGTCGATAGTTACATCCCAATTCCGCAGAGGCAGACAGATCTGCCCTTCTTGTTAGCCATTGAAGACGTCTTCTCTATCACTGGTCGTGGAACCGTTGCCACTGGCCGTGTTGAGAGAGGAACCGTCAAGGTTGGAGAGACAGTGGACATTGTCGGATTGAAAGATACCAGGAATGTGACAGTTACTGGAGTGGAAATGTTCCAGAAGATCCTTGATGAGGCTATGGCCGGAGATAATGTCGGTTTGTTGCTTAGGGGTGTCCAAAAGGATGATATCCAGAGAGGTATGGTCTTGGCCAAGCCTGGATCCATAACTCCACACACCAAGTTCGAGGCCATTGTGTATGTGTTGAAGAAAGAGGAAGGAGGAAGGCATTCTCCATTCTTTGCAGGGTACAGGCCGCAATTCTACATGAGAACAACTGATGTGACTGGTAAAGTGACAAAGATTATGAATGACAAAGATGAAGAGTCAAAGATGGTAATGCCGGGTGACCGTGTGAAAATGGTTGTGGAGCTGATCATGCCGGTTGCTTGTGAGCAAGGTATGAGGTTCGCTATCCGAGAAGGAGGGAAGACCGTTGGTGCAGGAGTTATCCAGTCCATCATAGAATGATATAATGTTACTTGTACTTGCTTTTTTCCCTGTCCGAAGCTGCTGATTTGGTCTTTTCCCATAAGAACTCAGAATCAAAATGTCAATGGTAGTATATCTTCTTGTTCATCTATTCAGTGTTCATTTCAGTAGATTTACATATAAAAGGAAGCTTCTTTTCTCTTGAAAAATGCCCTGCCAAAGTTCATGTATCATTTCTCAGATTCGTCGCAGCGATGCCAACTTCCTCTCCAGTTCCTCGATCTCCGTGGATTCAGAGCTGCATGAATTTGCCATTCGTATGAACAAATAATGAACAGTTCCCCGAGATTTTCCCACTGGTCATGCTAAACGAAAATGAACACATACCTGTTGTTATTAGCACTGGTGGGAGCAGCGGTTTTTGGTGTGATACGGCCCTTTGGAGCTGAAGTTAACTGTTATACAAAAGAAAGAAACGGGTTAAAGTAATTTCGCCCGAGGTATGAGAAGGCTTTTGTTTTCGTGTCAGCTTCATTGTAAAAGAAACCAAACCTGAGATGCAACACGGACACCAATCTCATCGAGCACCTAGAAAGAAGACAGGGTATGCATGTAAGAACCAGACAGAGGAAACAGGAAAGAAATCTCTTGCAGAAAGCAGAGGTGAAGTTTGACTTAGGCACCTGGTTAGTAAGCTCTTCTGTTTCCTCTTCAGCCTCATCTTTGTCCAGCGTTTCATCAATAGCTTCCGACATCATCTCTATCTGCAAAGAACAAAACATAAACATAACAAAGACAGAAATCTCTTATCTTTATTAACAATGTCCTTGTTACAAAGACCCTCTATTGCTTCGGAATCAGACAACGGAAGGAGAAGAAATGTTGTTACCGTCATGTCCAGTTGTGCAGACTGCTTCTGGAATTCCTTGATCACTTTGGCTTGTTTTATGGGCGCCATTTGCTGAAGATACATCAAAAGTTTTAATACAATGGCTGATAATCTTGCTTGTTATGATTTTTTGGATCATCAGTGTCCACTGGAAGTCAAGAGAAATTTCGCAATTCCCATTCTTATATCGAATTTGAGTTCCTCGGAAGTATAAAGCCAGCAGTGAGACCTTCATATTCAATTTTTCGTCTGGGTATTTGACAAATAGCATACCTTGTTCATGGCAACCATTGCCTTGGTTGCACCCTTCATACCAGATGAAATCGAGGTGCTGGCATACAGAGCCTGTTTCCCAGAAACAATAATCAATATTTAGTAGGCAATGAAAATGTGTTATAACATCAACATATGTATATGTCGATGTAAACTAAACTAGCATGGGGAAAGTACCTGCGTATGAGTCGCTACACCTCTAACTTGAGCTCGGCTTCCCTGCAAGTTGGTAATCTGTTGCCTCAGACGAACAAGTTGACGAGCTAAAATCTTGGTGGCCGCCTGATTAAAAACGTTTAAACAAATAAACAGCAAAGGCAGACATTGGGATTTAGAAGAGTCTAAAATATCCAGAATGATTCATCAAAAGGATTGAACTGAAAGTAAGCGAGGGCCACTATAGTCACAAACATACATGTGATGCTAATAGCAGAAACATGTTAGAAACTCAAAAGATTTATAATCTTATCCACTTAACAAAGCTCAAGGCCCTGGAAACTGTAAATGTGATCCCTTTAATGCTTCTCTAGCAAGCTCAAGGGCAAAGCCTTGCTCATTGGGTCACTGTAAAGAAAGTTTATATTCTTTAATGGCATTTTTGAAATCGTTATAGCTGAATCAATTAAGTGTATGCTTTTTCTAAAGGCCATGAATGAAACGTTAACTTCTACTAGCCTATCGTATTGGCTCGCGGTGAAAGATTGTTTCACTAAAATGAGGAGGAAATCAAACACTTGCCTCGTTTCCCGTCTTAGCTGTTTTCTTTATCTCTGCAACTAGCCTCTTCTCCTAAACAACATGTCAGTAAAACTGTAAGAAACCTGATAATAACATTAAGGTGGTGAATTAAAAACTCCCAAACAGAAGTTTAGTACCTCCATTTGAAGAGATGAAATCTCACGTTCGATACCTGCAGCGACATGGGAACAAAGCAAGTAACATGGAGGCAATGCAAATTGTTCCTTATCTTTCAAGTCAGACGTCAAAACAGACTTAGATCCGTGCTTTCAACTAATTAGTTAGAAAAGAGGAACCCGGATTAAGAAAAAGTTCATATAGAATACATTAGTGTGTGACAGAACATGACCATTAAATCACACTAACTTCTTCAGAACGACAAACCGATATCGAAACTGATGCTTGTCTCTAACTACGATTGCAATCTATAGGATCTAGATAGCTCCCAAAGAACAATGGAGAATATCGATAATTCCTCGGACAGACAGTCCAGAGACAGAAGCTCGGAGTCACATTTGCTACTCCGGTTTCGAAATGCAATTTGTTCAAACATATCATGAAGATCATGGAGAAAGTGAAGAACTTTAGAAAACCCAGATGTAAATTTTCCAAGATAGAGGAACATAATACCTCGTGTAGCAACAGACATTTCCCTCTTGCTGGTGCGAAGAGCATCTGCATAAAGGAATATATGGGTTTAAAAAGAACAAATTTAATCATTGGTAGGAATAAAGCTGAATCCGGATAGGGTTTCTAATTCAGATCTTTAGCAAGATCACACATTCTATTACGGAAGGTTCCCCATTTCCTGCAATCACGAAAAGCACTAACGGAATTAAAGGCGACATTTTCACCAAATTTTTCTGGAACCCTAGTTAACAACGGCAGATGGGTCGTCTAAATCCCTTCAGACAAGAAACCAGTTCATCCCGACAGAGGAGTTTCACCATTGCTCTCGACAAGAAAAGGAGACGACAGAAGCTGGAAATGTCGGGAGAAAAAAGGGGAAAGTTTTGAGCTTACCTTTTGGGGATGTCTTCTTTCTGAAAATGTTCAAGGCCATTGAGAATTTCATCTGTCTTCTTAGTCGAGCTGTGAATCCGCCGACAAACCCTAACCCTCAAACCCTAATCACGTACTTGGGGGTAGCAGTGATGTGCAGAGAGAAGCCGAGTGATGGAAGGAAGGAACAGAGAAGAAAGGAGCGATCTTTCTATTTTCCACGCACACTTTTTCTGATTATAAGTATTAGGAAAAGTGTTTCATTCTTCGACAGAGCTATGGAACTAGCCGTTACAGATATTCCCCACATCATGTGATGAAGCATTTCAGCGTTTTTCACATAAACCTCATTAACGGTTTAATCGTGATTACTGCTGCAATTGCCAATTAGTGTCTATACACAGTATTAGTGCCAACGTACTTAATCGCAAACGCGAATCGGTTTCGCCCTAAACGCGCGTTTTGACGCCAAAGGCCACGGCAACGCGGTTTAAATTCAAAGCCAACAACACAGATTTATGCGATTTGTGTATCACATATCCTCATCTTAGTATATATTCCTTCAATATTATCTGGTCAATAATTAAATCAATATATAACCATAATCGAATCGAAATTGATATAAAATTGAATGATTATTATAAATCCTGTAAAACCGAAAAAACTGATCTGAACAAAATAAAAAAAACTCGTAATAACCGTAATTTTTTATAAAAAAAATAAATGTTTTTATTATAACCAAACCGAATCGAAATGAGAATCAATATAAAAACCGAGCAGTGAAACAAAAATAACTTATCTGAATATAATCAAACCTTATAGACTTGTTCAAAGTTTGCTTTCAAAATTCAAAAATAGCACATGAACAGGAGGAGCCATGTTAAATTGCCACAAAGGAGTAAAATCCAACTGTTTCACTGGTTCTTCACAACCACCATAGCCTAGGAAAAACCTATACACACATGCATGTGTATTTTGTATAATATGTGTGTGCATATCATGGTAAGTATTAACCATAGTCTTTCATTAAAAAAAACAATGTTTTTACAAGGGCAGTGATTATTGAACATGGGAAATCTATAGAATATATCTTCTCACATCATATAATTAGATAGATTTTTATTATACATATATATATATAACATTTCATATATATAATAATACCACATGTGATATTTCAATTGAAGCGAAATAGAATATAAAAGTTTGATATGTTATTTCGTTTTGGAGAATATGTATTATACATTAATTAAATGCTTTACTATAATTGCATACTCGATTATTTTGGGGAAATTTCCTTTTGATGTTTTATTAAACGATAACAACAATATACACTAAAACTGTCTTCTATCAGTGTTTCTACAAATCCAAGGTTGGTTTCTTGAGAAAGTTCGGGTTTTTTTTTTTTCTCAAGATTTGGCGCTTCATCTTTACTCGTTTCTTCCTTTGATCGAACTCCAAAGGTGGCTCCTTTTTCAATTCTACCCTAATAATCTCTGTTTTCCATTTTTCAATTCTACCCTAATAAGGCTTTAAAACCTTTTTGTTAGATATATGAACGTTACAAATTCAAGTTGAGTACACTCCTCTTGGAATCTTGACCCCTCGCCGAAGGTACACCCATTGGTCTTTTAAATTCTTGCATTTATGGCGTAAAAAACCAAGCTTTCTTTTTCTCTCCCTTATATCTGGGTTTTGTTTTGCACTTGCTTTCGTCTCTTTCCAATTGTTCCTTATCTTTCAAGTCAGACGTCAAAACAGACTTAGATCCGTGCTTTCAACTAATTAGTTAGAAAAGAGGAACCCGGATTAAGAAAAAGTTCATATAGAATACATTAGTGTGTGACAGAACATGACCATTAAATCACACTAACTTCTTCAGAACGACAAACCGATATCGAAACTGATGCTTGTCTCTAACTACGATTGCAATCTATAGGATCTAGATAGCTCCCAAAGAACAATGGAGTAGTGACCTTTTGGGTTCTGAACCAAATCCAATGTTTCTTGCATGAAGATCCAGCCGAAGGCAGTCTAATTTTGGTGGGGTTTGTGTCAAATTCTATGCCCGGAGCGATTTGTGGTATTGGGTTGCTTTCGGGTTCTGGTTGATAAGAGCATTTTTACTCTCTTTTTTCCTGAGATAATCTCTATGCGTTTTGGGTTTAGGGTTTCTGCAAAGATTTGGTTTTTGTAACATTTCTTCTCTCATGCGATCCCCATTACTTGAGAGAGAGAGAGGAACGGTTTGTCTGTAACACGATCTTTAGCTTAGCAGGGAGGTAAAGTAGGTTTTTTCTAAACCTAGTTGCAGTGAAATGGACAAGCTTGCATCTGCAGCACAACTTCAAGAGAAGGAGGTTTGTTCTTTTTCCCTTCACTTTCTGATTAGGTTATCTATGTCTCTCACTCCAGAAACGGCAATTTGCCAAATTCTTTAGTTTCTTTGATAACGTGGTTGTGATTTTGCTCATCCCATCAAGTGGGTTGTTCTGTTTCATTTTGCATTTGTGCTTAATTCTTCTTTGAGATCAAGTGCTTTTTTCCTGCAACACTGCCACAGTTTCTTATAGAAGTGCACTTTACAGGATGATTTTGAGACACATTCGACTAAAAGGGAGCATAGCCCTGCAACAACCGGTAGTCCTTCTAGTCTGAAAGTAAGCAAATCTGATGTATACGCCATTCAGTTAATGAACTGTAATGAGTATTGGTCGGGGAAAGACATTAGATGCCACAGATGACTGATGTTTGTCTGAACCCGTAGAAAGTACTTTAAGGTCCGGTCCGTATTTTCTTTGTGATTGTCAGCATGTCACTTTGGGAATCTTGTGTTTCAAGCTTCTGATATCGAGAAATCCGGTTATGATTGCATTTACAATCTTGTCAGCATGTCACTTTGGATATTCTATGTGATTGTTTGGTTTAGTTGTTTAAGACCAGATGCTAGGATTTGCTTTCTCTCTCTTCCCCCTATTTTCCTGAATGCGATTGTTTTGTTTCATATTTGAGATGTCTGCTGGGTGGAACCCTGCAGAAGCTTGCAGGCCTTCAATCGATGAAGCTCCCGTGTTTTATCCATCTCCTGAGGTATTTGGCCATCCTAATAAATTTAAGCGAGATACTTTATATATGCCGTGGTAGTTTTGATGAATCTCACTAAAATTTCATCTTCTTGATCCTTTTTCTATCAGGAGTTTCAAGATGCACTTGCTTACATAGAGAAGTTACGCCCAAAAGCAGAATCATATGGCATCTGTCGAATTGTGCCGCCTGATTCATGGAGGCCTCCCTGCCCTCTCAAGGACAAACATATATGGGAGAACTCCAAATTTTCCACCCGGATCCAGCAGATTGACTTGCTCCAAAATAGAGAACCGATTAACAAGACAACAAAAAACAGAAGGAGAAAACGAAAAAGACACTCAAGAATGGGAATATCGGAAAGAAGAAAGGACTCATGTTGTGAAGCTGCTTCCTCCCCTGAGATGGATGGAAAATTTGGTTTCCAGACTGGGCCAGATTTTACGCTGGACAAGTTTCAGAAGTATGATGATTACTTTAAGGAATGTTACTTCCGGATAGGGGATCATCCTTGTGATTCCAGAGCTTCTGTAGATAAAAAATGGAAGCCATCTGTTGAGGAAATCGAAGGTGAATATTGGCGGATAGTGGAGCAAGGAACTGATGAAGTTGAGGTCTGTAGAAACAGCATTTTGTTTACATCCCTTATGCTTATGCTTTTTTATCATACTAACAAAATTTCCTTTCCTTGTTATTCTAAAAATATTTTTCCTTCTAATGTCTGCTCTTTTGGCATATGACAGGTATATTATGGAGCTGACTTGGAAACACACAAATTTGGAGGTGGGTTCTCAAAGCAACGATCGAAATATGCTGGAAGTGATTCAGATCAATATGCTAGTTCTGGTTGGAACCTAAGTAATCTACCTCGTTTACCTGGGTCCGTTCTCTGTTTTGAGAACTGTGATATCTCTGGAGTTATCATACCATGGCTTTATGTGGGAATGTGTTTTTCAACATTCTGTTGGGTAAGTTATGAAACAAGGAAAACCTTTGTTTTTAAATTAGTAGAGTTGCATGTGTTCCTTAAGCGTCCAATAGTCTAGGATGATACCTGATTCTACATTACATCATGACCAGTTTTTGGGAAAAAAGATAGTTGAAAAATTTCAGCAGG